ATCTCCACTACCATCACCCCTACCACCACCGTAATCACCACCATCTTCACAATCACCACCACCACCACCACCACCACAACCACCAAAACCACCATCACAATGACTACCACCACCACCATCATCACAACCACTACCACCACAACCACCAAACCACCACCACTCCATCACTACCACCACAACCACCACCACCACCAACATCACCACCACCCGTACTACCAGCACCAGCACCAACCATTCCACCATCACCACCACCAAAATCATCACAACCACCACCACAACCACCACCACCACAACAACCACCACTACCACCACCACTCCTACCACCACAACCACCACCACCACCACCACAACCACATTCTCTCTCTCCACCCCATCACCACAGCTCGTCTCAGACTGAAAGCCTCCCCCCGTGTGGTAGCCGCTGGAATCTCCGAGGAACTCACCCTGGACTGCAGACCCCCAGGCTCTGTCGATGACGTGCTGTGGGCCTTCCTCTTGATCGTTGACTTTGAGAACGTCAATGGAACCATCAGCCATCTCGCTCAGCAGACGTCAGAGACACAGATTATTGATGAGACCAACAGGTGGGGGGCAGATGAGAAAAGCTGGGTTTTTGTTTGTTTGTTTGTTTGTTTGTTTGTTGTTGTTGTTTTTTCTTTTGGGGGCGGGGGGGGGGGGCTTTTTTATATTTTATTTTATTTTTTGGATTACCTTTTTTTTTTCCCCGTGTCCTGATTTTGGTGCCGATATTTGTAGTTTACGTAAAATTATGTATTGACATGGTGCACATTGTTGTTTCAAGAAAAAAGAAATAAGAAAGAAAAAAAAAAGGAAAAGGGAAATTGTTTAGTCAGTGATGATGATGATGATGATGATGATGATGATGATGATGATGATGATGACGATGATGATGATGACTATGATGATGAGAGATGCGTTGAATTATGAAAAGACTGATACTATAAGGTAATGCGACATCGCTGATAAGTTGAGAGGAGATCAGATTAGATGAGATAAGTAGAAAAATATAGACACTATAAAATAATGGTACATCAATGATAAGATGAGATTAGTCGAGATAAGACAATATATGAAAAGAGATGAGATGGGATGATGCTAAATGCTGCTGCCGCTGCTGTTGCTGCT